CTTCCCATCGGCTTGTACAAGGCTTCGGCACCGGAACGGCTCTGCCTGGGGAATGGGTGGCCGGAAAATCAGGCCTGTCCGCACCCCGCTTCTCCAGGCCGGACCAAGGCTCCCAAGGCGGCAGGTTCCCGGGAACCTGGCTTAAAAGGAGGCCCACCCACCTGGCCTTACTGGACGTTCCCGGCCTCCCTTTAGAAAAGTTCGGTAACGACCATTCCCACTGGGTGGGGTCCCTCCCGTTGTGTTCGCGCCTCTCAGGCCGCACCCAGGCGGAGGCCCCGGGGAGGCCCCCGGCCCATCCGCCCACCGCCGGGCCGGGCCCCAAGGCTGCCGCGGGCAGGGAAGGAACCCCTGGCACTTACGGCTCGCGCTGCCAGCGTCATCAGCACCCCGGTCAGGAAGGTCAGGTAGTAGCCGGGGTACACCCCGTGCCAGATGGCGGAGAGCACGAACGTCTGGACGGTGGGGCTCCAGGTGGTCCGTTCGTAACACACCCTAGGGACCCGCAGAGTGAGGTTAGCCTTGCCAAGCCCCCAGCAGTCGTTCTTGTGTTACCTGGGGGGGCAGGGGGGGTTCAGGGGGCCCGGGAAACAACCACGCGTCACCTTAGGCCACAGCGTGGTCATCTGTGACCTCAGGGACGTGACGGCTGTTACGTGTCAGGTTTAGGGAGAGAAATGCAATTGCATCTCTTGCTGGTCCAGCCGAGCTCAGAGGCCCTTCCTGGTGTCTGGGAGGAAGGAAAGTGACACAGGAAACTGCAGCCCGATCAGAGTGAGGGTACTTGGCGCTGTTTGTCCTTCTCATGAGCAGCACCAGACCTTCCTATTGAGCCGGGAGAGCTAGTCTTCCTGGGAGAGGGCGGTGCTTTGTCTAGAACAGCGGTTCTCAACCTTCCGGCCCTTTAAATACAGTTCCTCATGTTGTGACCCAACCATAAAATTATTTTCGTTGCTACTTCATAACTGTCATGTTGCTACTGTTATGAATCATAATGTAAATATCTGATATGCAGGATGGTCTTAGGCGACCCCTGTGAAAGGGTCGTTCGACCGCCAAAGGGGTCTCGACCCATAGGCTGAGAACCGCTGGTCTAGAAGTTTCTTGTAACAGCCCGGATGAAAACAAGACGCGCCTAAGGCAGCAAGCTCAACACTTAACAGAAGCAGCAGCAGATCCGCTGGCGACCTGCGCGGCCCCGGGAGACAGCAAGGCAGGCGGGAGCGGTGCCGATACACGGGGCACCTCGGGGAGAGGGACACGCGGCCCGTCCGAAAGTCCAGGCGCGGATGCCGAGGCGGCACGGGCGGCTCATTGGGGAAGTCCAGCGCAGGGCGCTGTCCCCCGGGTGTCTGAGCATCTTCCTGACGTCATCTTCCAGGACTGTCCCTCCGCCTGAGCTGCCCGGCCTCCCCGTCCGCCTGACGGCCTCCTGCTGGTCATCAAGGTCAGCGCGAGCCCTGCCTCCCGCTCTGGGCCTCTCCGCCCCGGTCCCTGCCCTTCTCTCCTTCTCGCTGCCGGGAGCAGCAGGTGTAGACGGCTCTGCGGTGTCTCTAACAAGACTGTGAGCCCTGCCCCATCGTTAGAGCGTCAGCCCACGAACCGAAAGGTCACGGGTTCGATTCCGGCCAAGGGCACGTACCTGGGTTGCAAGTTCAATCCCTGGGCCCCGGTGGGGTGAGTGGGAGAGTCAACCAACCAATTGATGTGTCTCTCTCTTCTCTCTTCCCTTCCCTTCCACTCTCTCTAAAATCAACGGAGCCCAGTTGGCGTGGCTCATTGCCTGAGCGTCAACCTATGATCAAGGAGGTCACGGTTCGATTCCTGGTCAGGGCACAGGCCCAGCTTGAGGGCTTGATCCCCAGTGGGGGACATGCAGGAGGCAACCGATCCATAATTCTCTCTCATCATTCATGTTTCTCTCTCTCTCCCTCTTCCTTCCTCTCTGAAATCAATAATAAAAAGATATTCTCTTTTAAAAAAATCAATGGAAAAAAAAATATCCTCCAGTGAGGCTTAACCAAAAAACAAACCAACAAAACGACCGTGAGGCCTGCAGGGCTGCATCCTGGGCTGGTGCTGGGAAGTCTAGGGCGCACGCACGGCGCCTGTACTGTCACGTGTTCCGTTTGGCCACTCTCACTGAATGAGCAGGAGGATGTGTGGCCTGGCCTTGGCAGGGGCCCTCACGGGCGGAGGGGAGGTCAGGGCCAGCCGCCTCCTGGCCTGGCCCCGCAGGAGGGTAACAGCGTTTCCGGTGTCACCAGGCCGCGCATCCCTCGCACGCCATTCACGAACCCGGGGCCCGGCTCAGCGAAGCCCGACCACACGGCGCGGAGGGCAGCTCAGAAGGAACGTACCTTTTGAGCCACAGCGCCGTCTGGATGTTCCAGTTATCGAGAAACATCTTGAAGCTGGTGGACCCCTGAAAAACAGAGCGACGTTTCTCTTGGCCCAACGAAAGGAGGGCGTTTGGAAGGTGGGCAGCAAGGCCTTCTTGTGCTGAAGATAAGGGGGCTTGGCAGGGACGCGAGTGTCGTGGTGTCGTTCCTGCGCGCGCTCTTCTGACTCAGGGACGGGGGCTCAAGGGAGCGCGTGTGGCGTGGGGCACCCCCCCCCCAGCTCAGCGGGCTCTCACCCTCTTCTCCTGTCTGTGAGCATTCGGGGGGGCAGGGGGGTCAGGCATTATCCCCCAGAAAGTCCCGATGCTCAAGCAAAGGGCTCGGGCTCTCCCGAGGATGGACGTGCTCCAAGCCCCCCGGCTGAGCTCCCCGGCGCTGCGCCTGCAGCCACCCCTCCCGGCTCCTGGAACGTTGGCCCCGCCGGGCACCCCCACAGGAGTGGGCTGCGACCATCCGCCCGCCTCCAGCCCCTCGTGGAGCGTCTCCCAGGAGCTTCCCTCACGTCGGAGGGAGCCTCGGTCCTGGCTCGATGAGAGAAGGTGTATTATTATTAAAAATCCTCCACCACGCCCTGGCCGGTGTGGCTCAGTGGACGGAGCATCAGCCTGGGGACTGACGGGTCCCAGGTTCGATTCCGGTCAAGGGCACATGCCTGGGTTTCGGGTTCAATCCCCAGTAGGGGGCGTGCAGGAGGCAGTCAATGAATGCGTCTGTCTCATCATGGATGTATCTCTCTCTCTCTCCCTTTCC